GATTAACTCTTATTACTTTATAATTTAAATGCAAGCCTTACTAAGAAAATGTTTTATTTCAGTTTGAGGCGTTATTTTACGCAAATAAACAAATGGGATACAGTTTATGTCTTGCATACCGTGAAACGATCTAACAAACGCCCACTCTCAAATAAACGACTTTATCTAATATACCGGTAGCCCGCAAAATACTAGGAAATGGCGAATAGAGCAAAATCAATCAATTTATTAATTTCATTGCTTGATTAACATCAATTTTCAGTATTATGTCATGTTCAATTTCTAGATAAGAGGTCAGGCCCCAGTAGTCGAGATTCTGTGAACACAAAAACGTTTTTTAATAAAAGCATACTGTATTTAAAGGAATAGAAAACGTTTTCCGGTGTTTGCATAGCCTCGATATAAACACGAGGGGTTGGAGAATTCAAGACAGTTATGCAAAACCCGAGGCTAAGTCGAGGGTTTGCATAACCGCCGAATTCTCCCAACGCCCGAAAGTGTTTATATCAGGCTATGAAAAAAAAAAAAAAAAAAAAAGTTTTCTATTGTTTTTATAAAATAACTTTCCCTAGAAAAACGCAAAACTCTTTGTATGGCACTTATAAAAAGAGAAATTCTTACCAGTCGCAAAATCTTGTCCACGAAGTCTTGCACGCGTAATGAGTTCTTGTTTTGCAAAAAGATGCTTTGCAAAATACGGAGTTTTCTCGCTTAAAATGTCAGCTTAAGCGGAGAAAAATTGACTCACCTTCTTTGTAACAATTTTCCATGTTCCATGTTTCCACTCGAAAACTTTTTCAAATTTGGTGCTTGCGTGATTAGCGCGCGAAAAGCCGAACAACTTGACGCCACAACCATGTTTACATACTCTCATGCAAACACTGCTCTCGGCCAATCAGAGCGTGCATACTATCTTAGTTATTTTATAAATAGTTATGTTGAGTTCGTTAAAATAAGTTACGAGAATAAACGCCTCTCTCTTTTAAACGCCTCCCATCTATTAAACGCCTTCTTGACCCCTAAAATTAAATAAACGCCCGGCGTTTTATTAGATCATTTACGGTATGCATAGCATTGTAAGTTTATTATATAACCGCCTGGTTGATTCATTCATTTTATCAACAAAATTCAAAGTGCTTCTACCTCTGGCTTTTCATTATGCTCAATCTTTTCCTTTCAAATTGGTCAGCAGTGCCTCTGCATGTCACATGAAATGGAGGCTTTGGTTTAAATTCCCCTCCCTCCTTTAAGCATGGGACCTAATTCCTCCCCAAACCCTCCCCCCAGAAGACTATGGTTATCAAATTCCTCCTCCTCCACCTCCACCACCTGGGATGGCAAAGGTTTCAAGCCCAATTGCATAAAACAGCCATGTGGGTACCCACCACTCATCATAAAATAGGATAAAGCATTTATAAATCAATTATGGGTATGATGACATATACGCAAAAAGAGTATCGAAGTGTGACTGTACAATAAATGTCACAAAATCCACCTAGGCGGTCCCTACGGGATTTTCTGTCTTTACGTCATCCTAACCATCTCATACTTGCTGGGGTGAACAATAGAAATGTCATCATTATCTACTGATTCCTCGCGGCCCCTGTTCAAGCAAATCAAGATTTTTTTCTGGCATACCGACTGTATATTTCAACTGTAATTACTTTCCCTAATATACGTGCAAGTTACTAGAGTGCCTCCTCGGGATTTCGCCTTCTGGGCGAAATCCCTGGGAGGGCAACAAAGGCCCCTCCAAATAATACTGGGGAGTGAAGAGTACCAGCAACTGAACAGTGATGCTGATGAAAGCAATGAAAGGGAAGACAGTTGACTAAAACATGCTGAATTTGCATGATCCTTTTTTTTTCTTTTCATTTTACTTTTTACTTAAACTTACTTTTTCATTCATTTTTGCAAGTTATTGATTATTTATTCGTTTTAGGCAATGGCATCTAAGATACCAGAGTGTTCAATCTGTTTTGAACGTTACAATGACCAAAGCAAATGTCCTCGGCTTCTGAGTTGTGGACACAGCTTCTGCTCGAGCTGCTTGGAGAGACTACTCCATGGTAACACCATTGATTGTCCCACATGCAGAAATCTGGGCACTGTTCCTACTGGAGTGGAAGGTCTGTTAAAAAAAGTTTGCATTATTGGACCTTGTGAATGACACACCCAAAGAAAATGTTGGGAGTAATACAGGCTCACATGATTGTGAAAATTGTGGTGAGAAGCACCCTGCAAATTTCTGCTGCCTTGACTGCAAAGAAAACATGTGCAAAACTGCGGCTCAGATTCATACTCGCAACAAGGCAAGTCGCGATCATCAAGTTGTGTCCCTTGAGGAACTGGAAGCAAATCCTCAGCTTGCTTCTGTTTCCCTCGTATGCCAAAAACACAACGATAAATTCCGGTTTTTTGATGAGAAATGTGGTCATGCAGTTTGTAGGGAATGCGTTGCTCTTGAACACTTTGGTCACTTGTGTTTACCACTTGCTGAAGCTGCCTCAGGGTATGGAAAGGAAGTGAAAGATTTAATAAAAAAGACTAACGTGGAAACTGAATCAGCAGTTGAATTTGAACTGGAAATGGCTCGACTTGAAAAGGAGGTGGGATACCTACTAGGCCTCCTTAAAAAGGTAAAGTTAAAATAATTATGCGTTGTTTGGGTTAACTTATTGTTACATGCTTCCAAAGTTAGAATTCAATTCATTTTTTTTCACATTTTTCTAAAACTGAGACTCTCTTTGGGTCTCTCCAATGAATGCAAAGTCACCACAATTGCCATTAATGAAAGAACAATCCCTTTAAGAGATTAGTACAGTAATCATGTTGCCATTCAGAACAAGTTTCAAGTTTGACATTTTGGGCAGTTTTGGCTCTTTCTGGGCAGGTAGTGATCAGAAAAAATAACAAATGGCTGTTATAGGAGCTGAGTTACATGTAACATTGACAGGAAGAAATAATTTCCTTAAGATGAAAGTTTGAATACCGAGCGGATCTCCTCTCCTCACGCTAAAACTTGTAACAGAAAATGCATGTTCTTAGCTTAAGGCAACAGAGGGTAACAGGCTTGCATCAGCATTCTATCAAAAAAAAAGGTTTAAAGGCTTGTTTATGGGGGAAAGTGCACTTAGCTTATCCAGCTAGTTTACAGGCACTCCACTCAGATACTTAATAGAAACAAATAATTCAAATACAACATAACAGGATTAAAAACCCCAACTGGCAGGAGGCAACCAGTGGCCGTGGATTTGACTGAGAACAAATCCAACAAGTCCCAAGAGCGGGAGTAGAACCCAGGACCTCTGGATTGCGAGTCTGACACGCTGACTTCTCGGCACGCTGCCATTCCATTACCTTTGCTTACCCTGTATTCTTTGGAAGGTATTTTACAGTATACAATTGTATGGAAAAATTATGATAATCCCTGAGTACAATCAAGTTTGATAATGGGTCTGTTGGTTCGATGTGGGAATTTACAATGTCCTGGTACATTCTTCTGACATTTCCTTTTATTTTCTGTAGATTAGATTCCAAGCAGAAGAACATGAAAATGAAGTTCAACAACTGTGTCTACATCCAACTGTAGCTTCTCATCAACCACCTCCTCATCATCCACCATGGCATCGTCCACCCCCCCATAGACCACCATGGCATCATCCACCCCCTCATCCACCCCCCTGGCATCATCCACCGCCTCATCAACCACCTCCCCATCATCCACTGCCCCATCGACCCCCATGGCATCATCCACCACCTCATCATCCACCGCCTCATCATCATCCCTCTCATCGACCCCCATGGCATCTTCCACCCCATCATCATCATGCCCCTCATCGACTGCCACGGCATCCACCACCCCACTGATGGCCATGGTATCCACCACTGCCGCATTATCCACTACCTCATTGATGGCCAGGTCGTGCATGCAAACCACTGCTACATCAGCTACATCATCCACCACCTCATTGACTGCCACCGGCTCATTGACAACACAACTGCAGGTGTCATGATCACCTTTATCCTTCATAGAGGAAGTGAGAACATCTTCTCAGTGCTAACAGTGGCCATTGAAAAAATTCCTGAATTGTGATTGGAACAGACCTAAAGGTGTCAGCTCGCAAACCTGCCGTGGTAAATGAACCTAACATCATATACATGTAAGTTAAAAATTTTGAGCTTATGCTTTTTATTGTAGAACACACAAGGGAAGAAGTATTGTTTTGAGTAGCATAATGATAGAGTACATGTAACTACGTTGAGAAGAGTACATGTAACTGGGTTGCAACACTGAAAAAAGCATAGAAAGCCACTCAGAATATAAAAAAGACAAGGTCAGCCTGAAATCACATAATTTTTGTACCTCAACCTGCAGCTAGTCAGCTAGTCAACCATGTTTATGTTTCTTTGAGTTTAAGAGTATTTTTACTCACTTTAAGGTTTTAAGCACAAAATACAAAAGGCATAGTGTGTAAGTTTTGGTAAGTTACATGTATGTAATTGTTATGTCTGTGTAAGAAAAAGAATACGTTGGACAGGTATACAACACTTTATTATTATCATTATCATCATTATTATTATTATCATCATCATCATCATTGTTATTATTATTGTTAAATATTATTAACATTATTGTTGTTTTTCTAAAACAGGTGAGAATTCAAAACAAATGAAATGGAAAAGGAAAGATGCACAAACAAGGAAGGAAAGACATGAAAAGAAGAAAAAAAGGAGAGGATAGCTAATGATGTTGTTAGAATATAGCAATCCTTTTTGTCTTGTTTGCTAGAATTAGATTCTATGGAAATGATTCGTTAAATTATGGTTTACCATTAAGGCCACTGTGCCTCAGCTGGTGGTTTTGGATGGGCGAGGATACATTTCTCGTTGCAAAGGGATCAAAAGGGAGTTCAAAATTTTCCTGCAAGATTTTATTTGGGGTACAGTTTTGATATCCCAAGTTTTTTGGAAAACTATCCCTTACTTTCTTTAGCCTGTGAACACAGATGTATTTCTGCTGTGGAGAGAATAATTATTTAGCAACAACCAGAAATATGTCTGCGTTCACTGGCTACACCACTTTGTCGAATACAATAAATGATTGTTTCCTTGTCGAAGAGGAGTTTCTAAGCTTGAGACAAACTTAAGTCACAATAAGTAATGAATACTTTTGGAGGTGTGTTTGGCCGAGTGGTTGACCCCTCGAACTGCAGGTCTGGAGTTTAAGCCTTTCCTGTAGTGTTGTTTCCTTAAACATGGAACTTTACTCCACTTGTCTCTTTTCACCCAGGCGTACATGTAAAAATGGGTACTGGCGACATACTGCTGGGGGGCCAAGGGAGGGTGCGTGGCTACTCAAGATTTCAAGTGACGGGGATGATCGAATGAATGTGGGCAAAAATCAAACCCTCCAAAAAATCCCTGGGCCAAAAAAAAAACCTCATAAAAATCACATGCCAAATTTCCTAGCCTTAAGAATGTCCAGAAAGCATTAAAAGATCTAACACGAAAAATAAAGACATTACGCAGCTGGAATATGCAGCTACCACAAATCTTCAGATTGTTTTGAATACCTAAACAAATCCCTACTTAAATCAATACTTGTCAAATTTTCCTACCCAAAAAAATCCCGCAAAGGAAGATTACATCCTTTGATCATCCTTATCATTTGAAATACGCAGTACCCCCTCTCTTCCGAGCTGGGAGTAACCCTGCGCTGGATTAACATCCTCCAGGGAGAAGTAGCAAAGTAGCAATACTCCTAGGCCAGCTACATGATAAGGAAACCGGGATAAGTCCTTTGGGCCTTTGACTCGTGGCCGCCTTCACCTCCTTTTACCTTTTAATGAATACTTTGACATAAGGAGTCATCTTTTTTGGGCCTGGGAGTGACTGAGGAATCTTCTGGTCCTGCCAATAAACGTTTTTGGAGAATTTTATCAACCTCCTCACAGTGCATAATATGTGAAATAGTTCCCTTCAAAGCTAGCAAATAATATTTAAAGATTTATGAGGCACACAAGCACTTTCAGCAAAATGTAGGCTATACCCCGCGTAACCACTCGAACCAAACCGAACGTTTTATTAATCGGATTTAATGGAACTCTTATGCAAATTTTTTGGTTTGATTGTGTTCGATTACTGAACTTCGAACTCAATCGAGCTTTGGCTTATCATATTGCGTAATCCTCAAAATGGCCTTGAACATAAAGGTTTTGTATGGAAATTCAGGTAATAGATTCAAGAAGTTAAATACTGGCAGGAGTTTTCAATAAAAAAACGCTTCACTTTATTTTTAATGTCTTATTTACTTCCTATGTGGTTTAATATTTCCCCGGTTGTGATTGACGCGATGTCCTTTATCCAGAGATTCCACTTAAAAAAAGAGGGATTCCAAGGTTTTTTCACGTAAGAATGACGTCAGCAAAGCGTCCTGTTTCGGTAGTAAGGGTCTGTTTACATGAAGGTGGGGGACCCCAGATAGGTGAGGTAACATGTGGCACGTCACCCCACCTATCATGTAAACGTGATCAAATTTAAATGAGAGATTATATGGACAGGCGGGTTACCCCACCTACCTGGGGTCCTCCACCTCCATGTAAACAGGCCCTAAGTTATTTCCTCTGAAAATTATTAAACCACATGAAACTGACCTGTTGGACAAAACTTTTGAGTAAATGAATAAAAAGTCGTGAATGAGAGTAAGCTCGGACATCAGCATACAGGAGCGCTACAGGAAGCCGTTATCTGAGGATCTAATAGGGTATTTTCGGGATCCGGGATTTGACACGAACTATATAGAGCGCGATCCGAAAAAACGCAAATTTATTGACGGGATACGGGATCTAACTGGTCCTAGGAAGGTGGCATGGGATTCGCCAAAATCTTGGCACGGGAATCGATATTGGGAAAGAAAACGTTATTTGGGATAGCGAGATTACAGAAGTTCAGGATGCGGAATTGTCGTGAAAAAAAGGAGCGGTGGTTGGATCAGGAGCCCCCCTTACCGTCGACCCTGTTATTTATGAGCTCATGACCGGAACCCACCCAGCCCATGATATAAATGATGTGCACAATGACTGATAGACCACCCCACTGGGGAAACGACCACTACTCATTTAAATCATTAGGGTCGGTTCTTTTACGTCCCCTTTGATTGACTTGACCAACCGCTTAACATCTTTGCCCCACTGACGCGATCATCTGAACTGAGACAAGATCTCAAGCCACGGTAAAACGGGCAACAAAAATGTGCAACTTGTTTTGCAGCTGCTGCAAAACGAGTTGAGTGCAGCTCCCCTTCTCATGCATGTATTTCTCGAAAGTGGTCAGTAATAGCTCTCCAATGACACAGTCAGCTCCAGACAATTATTTTTGTTGATTCTCTTCAGGTATTTCCTTTGACTCTCCATAAGGTAGACACCTTACTAAAACGGACACCTAGAGTTGGTCCCTGCCGTTCTTCAGTTACTTTTTTTGTCTATCTATAAGGCGGACACCGCCCCAAAAAAGACACCCAGAGCTGGTACCTGCCGTTCTTCAATTATTTCCTTTCACTATCTATAAGGTAGACACCTTACTAAAACGGACACCTAGAGTTGGTCCCTGCCGTTCTTCAGTTATTTCCTTTGACTCTCTATAAGGTAGACAC